TAAACAGACTGATGTGTAAAATCACTTACCTTTTTAAATGTCTGTAGATAATCTTCTGGTACAAACACACACAAGATACCAGAAACTAGTAATCACCATCTCTTCTGCATGCCTAAAACCTCCTAGCAATTGACTCCATGGTTATTTTGTAAAAACTTTATTGGTTTCAACCACATCGGCCATTATCCAGTTGTTGATCTCATTTCTATGACACTACAATCACCTGGTGTAAACTCCGGCTAACAATGAACCTCATTAGACAACAGAAGCACTGTCTACTGCTCTCAGACCCTCCTGTTACAGCCCTCCCATGCTCAAAACCAGGGCACTCTGTCCCTTGCCAAGCTAGCATTGCTCCAAAGTGCAGGGCTTAAAAGGTGATTAGGTAGAGATTTGGTGTCCCCTTCCTGTGTCGCAAAACTCTGACTCAGCTGACGGGAGCGCAGACGCCGCCCCACAGGCCGTTTCCTGGACATCTGAACTCCCTGTAGCAGCCAAGGTCGACTGTAGCAGTGCCTGGTGGAAACCCTGAGTCAGAGTGGGCACTGCCACCGGAGCGAACACAAACCACAGAGCCTGACGTGACAAAAACAGCTATCTGAGCAACACACGCCGCTTTTAGCTGGTGTGTTGCACGTGCATCTGTTACTGCCAGGCGGGGAGGAGCAGCTCGACTTGTAACCCCCTTAAATTAGCAGCTTTGCAAGGGGGCTACTTATTATGCACCACCCGAGGTCTACAAAGCTCGCTGGTGTTCCCCCGCACAGCTGATTGTAGTTAGGGGCTTTCCAGCGCGCACAACACAGCTGCCGGAGGAAACGCAGCCGGCACGAAAAACCTCTAAATACACAGACAAAACTTACTTGACCGTAGCACAAAGAGGATTTGCATCGCAAAACAATGCTATAGCCTGTCTGACCCTTGTACCGAGACGAGGGGGGGGGGGAGCCTGAGGTAGAACTCTAACTTGCGCTTACAAACAAGCAGCATATACTGTACATCTGCTCAACACGTTTGAGATAAAAAACCAAAATACACGTAACTTTCAACCCCCGTAAGGCTTCTGGCAATGACTGAGGCCGCATTCCAAACCATCAGTCATGTGTCCAGTCTCAACAGAGAGGAGCTCTAATCTGCCACGGAGGGCTTTGTGGAAAAATCAAGTCCATATTAATCCGATTACCCCAAGGTGCAGAGCTCCCGGCAGGAATGATGTGTCGTATGTGTTGATGACATCTCTTTTCTGGGCCAAATCATGTGAGAAAAAGCAGCGTGGTAGAGGAGGAAATAGCATCTCTACAGATTGTGAGGTCAAAGGTTAGAGTCTGGATGAAGCTGAAAGAGATGTTTTTTCATCTGTTGTTTGTGGGAGGCTTATCAATCCTGGTGAAGCGGAGTATACAAGTCTAGCAATTTATTATTTTTTGTTATTCAACATAGAGTGTACACAGAGCGTGGCACATGTAATGTAATTTAAGATGTTTGCCTCCATACCTTTCTTATACTTGTGGATGGGAAGTTTCCTCAGCTGATCCTTGCGCAGGCGGCTCCTCCGAGCCCGGTGTCGATCCTGGACAAACTTGGTGATCTACGAAGAGCAGGGGGGAAAAACAGAAACATGTCAACATCCTTTAAAAATCACACACACATCTTTTTTTTTGTCCAGGTGCTGAGGCCAAAAAAACTGTAACTGTGATTTCTGTCACCGAAGCAAAACACTGTTACATTAGGAAAAGTGCGATGTTTCGAGCTCAAATTGGATGCCAGACTTCAGCCTGCCTGTTGTAATACAACTTCCAGTGGCAGGCTGAAGTCTGGTACCTGACAAAGAGCCAATCTGGACTCAAAATGTTGTTTTCCTCAAGTAATTAAGTAGAAATTTTAAAGGGAATGGTTAACATTGTGTTTAGAGTACCCAGGAGGAAAAAATTCCAGGCATCTTCTACTTTACTTTACAATCATCAAATTTAAGCAAATCTAAATGACCATCGGCCTTTAAATACACCCAGTAGTTCCTTAAGAGAACCCTTGTATTTTGAGTTATAACAAAAATCTAACTTACCATGAAAACAACAATGAGGATGAGGCAGATTCCCACGATGATGAGGAAGGGGATCAGGTAGTATTCCAGCGGCAGGCTGAAGTCTGGCATGAGGACCACATGTCCCCTAGAAAAACAAGCATTGACAGGTGTTGTCAGGTAGTACAAAAACACTGAATGCGACCTAAACAGGGGCTGTATATTATGACAGCATTTTGTTACAGCTCATCGTTTCGACTGTAAATGGTGTTGAGATACCTTTTAGTGTGAAAAGAAACATGATGGCATTTTTTAAACTGTTAATTAATATGGGGTACGGAGCTCTGCTTCTTTTTACAGAACTGCCTCTACAGCAGACAAATCTCTGTGGCACTCAAATTTGTAACAACCAATTTGGTCCACACTGATAAAACCCTGCCAATACCATGTTTGGTGTTCATTCCTCTGCAAAAGACTTGGGAATAACCCTCACGTATTTGGATGGTATCCTGACAATGCACCCAACACCACACAGACACACACACACACACACACACACACCAGCTGATTTAAAAGTGGAGAAATGGTACTTTAACGCTGTGATTCTCTGGGCTCCTCTGGCAGACCAAGACATTTCATTACCACCTCGGCTGCACTGACAACACATCACAAGACAAATTCTCTGCCTCGATAGATTACAACGCTGCAGGCATTTTTTTTTTATTCTACAACAATATTATATTAAATTTGTATTGAAGAGCTGGAAAGCAACTAAGGGCTGGACAGTCCTGAGCAACCAGCTCTTTGCTCTATTACACCGGAAGAACTGTGATAAGCTCAGTGTGTAAAAACCTGCTTCTTCTATTTATACAGATAGGCAGAAAAACGAGATTTGGGTTTAGACTTACCCCTTGTCATACGTGTAGTCTTCTTTCAGAGAGTTGGCAGTTTCCTCGCTCACAAACACAGAGGGAATATCTATCTGCTTCATAACATCCACTAAAAATAGAAACAAAAAAAAACTACTGTATTAATATATCATGTGACTGTGTATCAATGCCCGACTCAATTGAACGACCTTGAAACACAATGTTCTGCTATCAGAGAAAAACTAAAAACAAAAACAGAAAACTCAGCTCAAGGACCACTTCCTTCCATTTTCTGGAGGTTTTTAACCACATGTAACAGTCTTCTTCAACTGATGAAGTGTGTTCAGTTCACTTTTTTTAGTTTCTTACTTTATTAAAAAACTTAAGAGCAGGAGATGCGGCTGAATCAGAGCTGCAACAATTAATTGAGCGACAGATAATTAATAAACAAGTCCTCTGATGTTTGAATGTTCTGAATGTTTTTTCTATGATATTAAAAACAGTATCTTTGGGTTTTGGATAGACCCCGACCAATATGGGATATTCTAAGGCCGATACCGATTTAAGAGGTGAAAAATTCAAAGATTCCCAATATGGCGGCTGCTATATTGAGTTTTTGAGCTGGAATGAATAAAAAGACACCTCTATTGTGGCTTGTGCACCAATATCACTACGCATTATTTAAGTTAAGTATTCTTTAACATGTAGTTTAATTTAACATTTTTTTGTCAAGCTACTATTTTCAAAGTAAAGAATTAACTTTCACTCAAATCTACCCACCATAAACATCTGACGATCTCAGAGAGGTTTTGTTTTCACTGCCTGTATAATGTCCATGTGCTTCCAAACTAATGATGCCACTTGTGACCTACTTTGTATCAACAGATTTTAGCCTGTTAAAACTTTAAGGCGGGATTATGCTCGTACAAAGGGTTGTTTGATGTCAATCAATTCAGTCTCTCCACAGAGGTATTTATTTATTATGTTTCCCTAATTTGTTACATATGAAAAATGACAAGTAGTTTATTATATAATTATGAACCAACCAACGACCAACCACTGTGTGAAGTGGTGGTGTGCTTGTTGGTTTTTTCTGTTGCAGAAATTGTTGAATGCAGTGCTGCTAAAGGGAGAAATCTCTCGACCACCGGCGTTACCAAGCGTGTAAAACATCATCCTACTCCAACTAAAAACACTAACCAGGGCAAAAAGCCTTCTGGATAATTCATGACTGTGCTGCACCCCCTCAAGTGAGTATAGTAGGTGAGACCTAAGTGAAAGAAACTCCAGACAGATCATATCACAAAAGTGGCCTCGAGCAGGGACAATGTGGATTCACATGCGGGTAGGTTCTGCAGGGCATCGCATACTTCCTCCAGTACATTTAGAGGCCTGAAATGGACTTCTGACTATAAACCTGCAGCTTTTCCTCAGGCTCGGGGATTAAGAGAAAAACAAAAGCACATCATTTGTCAACAGAGACACATAACCAGGCAGCTGTGTAAGATGCTAAAGGCTTATGTGCTGATGTACAGAGAGAAAAAGGAGGAGGTGGTGCTGGTAACTTACAATCATTGGATCCCATGCTGATTAAGTCATCAGAGTCCACATTGTGAACAATGGCTGCCTTGTACCCGGCTTTCTGGGCATTGAGAACCTGTGAGGAGGCAAAACATTTACACCCTGATTATCAAATGGATCCCCTTTGGTGCAAACACCTGGCGGTTATAAGTAGGCTAACATCAGCTGCTACTATAAGACTAAAAACAGCTCTAAGTGAAGGTTGGTGTGTGTGTGATAACAGGAGTTTTGTGTCAGATAATGTGACCAAATCTGATTTCCACTATCTGACACAGCTGCATCAAACCACATTAAACATAACATAGAAATAGAAACCAGTTGTGGTTAGCAGGGAGAGCTCTTTGGTTCAGCTCAGAGGCTTTTAGTTCACTGAGCCAAAGTATTTACAAAGTAGAATCTATTCACCAACATTAGCCTTACAAATGTACCACTTCCACTTTAATGACGCACTCTACTGTTGATATGAGCTAATTTATGACCAGGCCTTGCAAACTGAATTCACAAAAGGGCAATAAATACTGCAGTTTTCAGTTCGTCAGCATCTTAATTACAACAGCAGTGTGTGAGAAGACAACAGAGACCCCGGATAAAAGAACACTGTGGCTTCACGGAAGCATTCAACAACAGGATTACGGCCCGTTTCCCAGACAGTGTTTGCAAGATACAAGATGTTTGTATTGAACGCCCAGGCGGCTGGCTCCTCCATGATAAACACTGGCTCCTCATCTAAGCTGAGCTGTAACTGACGATCCGAAACAGGAAGTGTTCGATGATATGAGGGGAAACAAGGGGTGCAAGGGAAGCCACGTGGTCAAAGTTTAGTGGCAGAGTAGGCTAAAGGTAAGAAAAAAAGCTCTATTATAGGAAGGTAATGACAAATGCTTAAAGTATCTCATATTTTGCCCTGAAGGATTTTATCTTTATACGTGCTGCAATTTCTTATTTTATATAACAAAGATCACAGGTTTCGATCAGCGTAAAGATGTGCCCTGAAACATAACGCTTGAGGCCAGCTCCCTCGTATTAACCGGGATCTTCTAACAATAATTGTAATCTGTTGTAACCTGTAATCCAAATGAAAATGTCACCACAAAATAAACAAAACAAAGAAAGCTGCGGTCACTCCCAGATTGATTGACAGGTCATCTCACACAAGACAAAAACAGCACAAATGTTTGTCGTTTAAATTCTAATCAGATGGAAAACTAACCAATCATTCTTTAATTATTCCTCCAAATCTTAATCTTATAATTCCTTATATTTCCACATTTTTAAACTTTAACTTTCTGTTTGGAGGCCATGTTGCGTTGGCAGTCGTGTGCATATCTGTGTGCGATTGTGTGTTGTATAAACATGCCACCATGTCCACACAGTCATTAATCATACCTCTTCAGAAAAAGGTTACGCCTCTCACTGCTGCATAACAACCTGTTTACTGTGTGTGTGTGTGTGTGTGTGAGCAGCTGTTATCCTCTCAAAAGGCAATTTATTTTTCTTTTCCTATCTGTCAACACCTTCATATTCAAATTCACAAAACCAGTAGGCTGTGTCAAAGTCTGCGGCAGGGCTCGATTATTATTGTCTAAGTTGTGATGCAAACTCTCAGCTGGAGGCCCAGACACGTAGATTGAATGTTACACAATCGCTTGCAAATCAATTTTGCAAGACAGTTGTGTTGCAAATGTGATTGTGATTACCTAAATTTAATGTGGCAGCAAGCAAATAAACAAATTCTGGGGTCCAAATGTATCTTATTCAGTGTATGCGTGTGGCTGTTTCAGTAACTATAAAACTTTTGGTATTCATAAATAAAATCAATAAAAACTGGAGGACAAGTCTCCAAAAACCCTGAAATGCTGTAAAATATTTGTTATTTTATAAATGTGGATCAAGGACTCTACAGTCGGCTGCAGGTACTGTAAACCAGTGGTTCCCAACCTGGGGGATCAGGACCCTCATTAGAGGTCGCCGAAGCTTCAAAGGGGGTCGCAAGGCCTTAATTTTAAGGGATGTAAGAAAACTTAAAAAATACACACAGTAGGTCTATATATCAGGATTTTGGTTCACTTAATGTAAAGTAAAATTGTCAAATAGAACAATGGCCAAGTGTCAGGGACATGAAAACACTTTGTCAAGAAAGAAACCTATCAAGTCTGTATGATTGTTAAAAATGAGATAAAGGAATGTATAAAAAGTTCCCTAAGGGTGCCTGGTTAGCTCAGTCGGTAGAGCTGGCGACCCATATACCGAGTTGCTGCAGCAGCCCAGGGTTCGAATCTGACCTTCAGCCCTTTGCTGCGTGTCATCCCCTCTCTCTGTACCCCCCTTTCCTGTCTATCTTCGGCTGTCCCTATCAATAAAAGGGCCTAAAAAATTACTTTAAAAAAACAGTTAAAATCATCCAAATCAGTTGTTTTACACAAACTTGTTGCAGTTACTGAGTTCACTATTTGGGTTCATTGAACAATCTTGAATATAATAAGAAATATCCATAAAATATGTCTTTTATTAGTTAGGGGTCATCATTTATCAATGATAGAAAAGAGGTCCCTTAAGGAAAACTGTTGGGAACTACTGCTCTAAACCATTTTCACTTCAACCTTTAATGTCACAGCAGGTTGTGCTTTAAAAACAAAACAAAAAAAAACGTTACACTGAAGACACTAAAAAAGGATTTTAACTGGGATCTTTCCAGCAGCAGAGGGGCCATGTGTGCTCCATCATGGATGCAGGGGAAACTGATGTAATGAGGATCTTCCACCTGGGAGGCTGTTTTTGTGGCTCTGACACGGTATAGAGGCCGCAGTATCCTGTATAGCCATTGTTGTGGCTGATCGCTCACAGCAGATGTGGTGGAGAAAATAGGATGTGACAATATAATCCTGGAATGAATCATTATGGGTTCCTGCATAGACTGAAAGAGACTTTGGATAGTTAATGTTTTGGAGAGAGACTTTGGATCGTCAGTGTTTCCTCTGAAATCCAGAGGAAAAAACTATTTGCATCAGATCACGTAAACGTCACTGCTCCATAAAACAAAAGCAGTGATCCTGCAGTACCAGCAACAGTAAAATCTGAGATGCAGACAGTGTTTCAGATGGTCTCTAACCAGGGTATGAACTCAAGAATATCTCACGTAGCTACAATCAAGCTGTAGAATCAAAGTGCAAAGGCGTCGTTTTAGAGTCACAAATTGTGCAAAATGAAGAAAATTATTGTGGAAATACAAGCAGGTTAGGCAACCTGAGGTATTGTGGAAAAAAAACACTAACCAGAAAGCACTGAACATCACTGATTAATAATATTTAACAAAGTAAGACAACCCAAGGGTGATTTTCCTCCGTTAAACCACCGCTAACTGAAGCCACAGAGGAAACGCTGACGTTAATTATTAGTCAGAGCATGTGCCACCCTCCTGTGGTAAATTAACACCCGACCCAAAGCCAGACAGTGAGAGTGAGACCGTGATGTGTGACAGTGCAGGAAAGAAAAAAAAATCAGTTGAGCTCAGTTCACAATCTAAAAGATATGAAAGTCATCTGCTGTTTATCTGTTAAATAACAGAAGCCGGTCGCTCACACAAACCTGAGCAATCGGTGGTTGTGTGAGTGAGACCAGGCCTCTTTACACCAGCATTGTACACTGTTGTGATGCAAGGAAACCCATTTAGACCTGTGAGGGGTGAACAGTGTGTGTGTGTGTCATTCGTACTGTGTGTGTGTGTGTATTGTAGCCTTCAGGGATGCTAATAAAGCTCAGCACTGTCTTTTGTCTGTTCCTTGTCATTGTAATTTTATGCGCAGGCATACGTGAAGCAGCGTGTATGGCAGCCGCAGCATTGTGAGCCCATGTGTTCGCTTGTGAGGGTGTATTGTGTGGAGGTATCAATGGATACTGTGTGCGTCTAGAGGCAGGGCTGTCTGGATAAGTAACACACCACACAAAATACTGTGTCTGGATATATGTGTGTTTTTTGAGTAAGGAAAGTGAGCTAGGTGGAGGAAGGTTGTGGTTTTGAGACATCACTGATGGGCATTTGTCTTTATTTTTTAACATTTTATAGACTAAATCAATCAATTAATCCAAGAAAAGGGGCACTGGCGATACTGATAATAGGCGAGGGACACATGGCTTTAATATTATGATAACGTGAAAATAATTTCATGTTTTATGTCCATTCAGACCAAAAACCAATTATTTTATGATTTCAACAATCGCGAGGTAAAACAGAAATACAGTGTTTTAACAATGTGTGAACGGATGACATCACGTTGCAGCAAAAGTTAAGACTGGTTCAACTCTTTTTGCTGGACCGCCCTGCGTTGCCATCCCCACTGCGCCGCCAGACTGGCTCAATTTCAATGATGGGGGGCTTTGTGTTTTCACGCATGGCTCAAGTCTACAAATCTAAAACGTTTGGCACGCAGTGATTTCATACCTACGTCAAACCCTACTTATCTAGTGTTCCACGTGGGATAAATTAAACACTACAGTACTGTACATGCGGTATAGTTTGCATCATATTACGCCTCAACAGCTAGGTTGTTGGAAATCAAGTCATGCAAATAGGAGACTACTGTGACAGCTGCCACAAGCCAAATTTCGTCCAGTAGCGACTAATACGGCTCATTAGTGAACCAGTGAATTTGTCCTGTAACCAATCACCATTTGGAGGCTGTGCTTTACTTCCTAGAACTTACTTAAATAAAAAAAATAATCAAACGTAGGTGCTGCTACCCCTGTTTTCAAGGGGATTTTACAGTAAGAGTAAAGAGCCATTTTGGCTGTAGGCTGTCGAGATGCCAGTGTGCGGTGTGGTCTGTCTGCCTAGGATCTGCAGAGGAATTCAACCTCTGCTGCTGGCTCACCCTTGTGTTTGCATGGGCAAAGATAAGGACATTCAATGCATTCCTGAAAGCCTGAAGAGAGGGAGAAAAACAAGAGACAGAGAGGCAGAAAAAAAGAGAGGGAGAAAGAGAAAATGAGATGTGAAACCTCTAGAAAAAAAAAAAAAAAAATCAATAGAAGGCAAGCATGTGGCTATAAACACACACACACAAGCTTAAACTAAGAATGCATCACCATGCTCTACTACCATCTGC